CAAGAGCAGGAAAAGTTTGATCAAGTACGAAGTGTGGCTCATCATCCGAATAGGCTTCAAAACGGGTCGCTATGATGTGACCAAATCGCCACTAGCTATCATGGAGTATAAACACTGCTTACCGCCTCCAAGCACTGCATCGCGACAGTGTCACTTCGTCGCTTGCTCTAATAGCAAAACTGTTTCGCATCGTTTTCTGAACTTAGTGAATTTTGGTCGGAACAACGCCGTGGCAACTATATGACTTTCAGTAAATGGAAAAGTCGTCGTTTTCTGTTTCAGCCAAGGGAACACCTTGTGTTCAAGCGTTCTCCAAGCCTTCTCACAAAATTTGAGCGGAATATTGAAGAAGAGATCATACGGCTGAATGATGTCCAGGAACCATTTTGTGACACCAGCGAAAATATGGATGATCCTATAGCAGGTTTGCTAATTTATAAAGTTTTGGCTAGCTCAGTTCTCTGTTTCTGGTTCAACCTTTGTAACCAGGGCACATCGTACGCTGAGGACTTCCAAGGGGAGGGGGGGAGGTCGTACTCGGTCACAGGAGGAAGACCGCACCTGGTCGCAGGAGGAGGGTCGTGCCTGGCCCCGCGATTTTTTTTACATTTGACTTTTCCTTTATCAAGCGCACTATTCGCATTGTTGGGAGATCCGCATAGAGGGACAGGGAGCTTGTATGTATTGTTAGCCGTATGGGTGGCCTCTTTGAGAGAGGAGGGGGGGGGGTCGTATCTGGCATTCGCAAAATTTCTCCGCGCGTGAAATTTTTCTGTTAAATTTTCCTGTTTTTCCATTTCACATGTGCTATCTACCGCGCTAGTTTGCGGCGCAGCGGAAGTCTCCTACAGCTAATATTTTTGATAAATGAAATTAGCAGTTGTTCAGTGGCAACGTTCCCTTCCCCCCCCCCTTCACTCAGCGGAAAATGGGGAAAAACTGGAGTGTTTTTTTGGAGCACTGGGAAGAATTTATACGAAGTTGAGAGGTAGGATGAGGGAAAGGATACGGTATTTTAAAAACGTAGGTGCCCTGATTGCAGAGGCACGACTCGTTGTTTGGAAAAATGAGAAAAAAATTCAGGACTGAATGGATAATTGTGGCAAGGTTGTCGACCATTTCTTCGCTCATATATTTAGTTTAATGATCCTTTGTTGTAATTTTGTATGTGCAATATTATATGCTACGACGACTGCCTTAAAAACTGTCCAGTTCTGGTTTTCCTATCAGTACTTATGGTGTAACCGTGACGCTATAAAAAGGAGGGACATTAATTATTACAAACACATTTGGCAGAGTGCGGGACAGAAAACACCACGGATTTTGGCGCGCGCACGCGCCACCACGCGCGCGCACGGCCGCGCGACCACTTTCCCATCGTCTCCGCGGAAGACCTCGCGCGGCGAAAGCGCGTCACTTCCGTACGCTGTGTGAATCATTGATATAGAGTTCACTTCAGAATGGAGGGGAAGTGGTGGCGTGCACGGCGCTTTTTTTAATGGTGCTATCCCTCAGGGATAAAAGGCGTTGATATCATTATACATGAAATGTCCTGATGTCGCAAAAGAGTTCTCAAACCTTCAAGTAGCACGAAAAAGTAGTCCTCCCAAGTTCATTCAGCAAACATACTGAACCTTGTTGAAACTACGTCGGTGTTGAACCGTGTTTCTGAATGTTTTGATTCAAATCTACGATAACAAAGTTTATGATGAGAGGCGCAACTAAATACCTCAATAAGAAATGAAGGTTTCAGTGCGGTACTCAAAGGTACATTCCGTGATTGCACGTCGAGGGTAGTGGGTTTCAAGTATGAATGTATAAGTGCTAGCCGGACTACTTCTAACGGAAAGATCTGTATCCAGTAGAAGACGATCATCAGGTTCGGTTGACTTGGGGAGGAAGAGACGCAAAGACTGGAGCGCAGAGGGCTAGAGGACAGACTAACCAAAAACAATGGGACGCAAAGATGCCACACAGCTGCATTGAAAAACTTGATCACGAACCCTGGCTCTTTTCAGCTTTTTGAAAGCAGCCAAGCTCGCGACTAGATCTCAAGGTTCTCGGATTAAAAAATAAACAATGAAGGGTTCGTCAGTTGATTAGGCCCTTTCTAAAATGGCGGCACGCATTATGCTTTCATCCGAAGTCGTAGCGCTTAATGAATGTGATGGGGTTTCTACAACGAACAGCGGTGGCCATTCGATGAACACGTCAGTATTCTCATCCTCTCACACCAATCTGGTGGCCAGTTACCGTCCCCTGTGAGGATTGACTGAGTGAGGGAGTCGGTCCGCAGATTGGTCCTCTGATCACGCGCGTGGGAAGCGTGCCGCTTGCCACCAGACTCCCTGCTCCTCAAGTGAGATATACTTACATGTAATTTTTGGAGGCTTTTTCCCTAGCTGGTTTTATTCACATGTAATTCTGAGTGTTATTAAATAACATTTTGATGAAATTGTTCTCACGCACTCCACAGAGAGTAATGATCTCTGCAAATGACAGGGCGCGTAAAGCTGCGTGGTTTGATGAGGGCAGCCAGGTCCCACCAATGATGGCCTCCTGAGCCCGCTTCAATTGGTTGGAAATCTGTCGTGGCTGCGCTCAAAGCCATGCCCCCGCACACGTCATTTTTGCAAGGGATCATTACACTGTACTCTAGCAAGGTAACCATTTTCATAGCCAGTAAGATAACAGGAAACTTTCCAGCTGAGATCCTTTCCCTGAACTATACCATTCCATCGGCAGCGAAGTTGGATTCACCGTTTGTTTTTCCAAATCTTGATCCAATCACTTTGGAAATCGGTCTTTTCCTTGACTCAAAACTTTTCGAACATTTTCAAAGGTAAGAATATTAACTTTTTAAGCGTGCTTCTGACATCACCACCTGAGGTTATCATGCTTTCAGGGATTTTATTCAAGACGCTGAACAACATCTACTCGACTTCTCATTAGCTTTAATAAATAATGTTCATGTACTCTATCAACAACCCACACTGTCTCCAAACCTGACAGAAGCAGTGTAGGATGAGGTCGCCATACCACACCTTGTCAGTTCGTGGCGCCCCCAGACCTAACGGTAAGGAGAGGAATTGTTTCGAGGTGGTTCTTGGCATCTTCCCTGAGGTGACTGTGAATAAGGAAGTGGCGTAAGAAAATCGACTACAAGCGGATTCTTTCGCATCACGGCCCATTCGATTAAATGAGGCTGCATTAGGTCGAGTTAACAACCTAAGTACTCTAATAGTTTGCGCGCTGTCTCGTGAATTGGGACTAAGGCAGCGTTCAGACTTCGCGACGGCAGCGCTTTAGTCGCGCGATTCCGACGATCGATGCGCATGCTTTCGACTGCATCGATCGCGTCGAACGCGCGACCGAAGCGCTGCCGTCGCGAAGTCTGAACGCTGCCTAACAGCGTATACCCGAATAACCCTGCGGGCAGTCTTGAATTTCAACTTTCATGATTTGTAAAAGGTCTCCTATGAACTCATTACGTTCCCTCTATTTCTCGCCACTTTCACCTTTAGTTATTTTTGGTCACTGCTCTCTTATGACTGTTAACATTTATATTCATATTTATTTTTGTTGTACAGGTAATCCTTTCCCGTTTAGAGCAATTTGGCTACATTCGTGCACAAAAATGGGCAGGCCCAAAGTTTGTTGGATGCGTTCTGTCGTCATCAAGCTCACATCAATCCGGGCACTGATCTGACCGACATGGGACATTGGGATCATGGCGTTCTGTTGACTGGGTTTGTTTACGACATGCTTTTTTACGGCAGCGTTTTAAGCGTACGCCAGCGTCCTCGACAATTACGAAAGTATGGGTAACAGTTTATAGGGGCCAAAAAAAAGACACTTTTCTTCCTTGACTTTCAAGGCGCTATAAGTTACACTTTATTGAATTCTGATTGGACATTTCCACCACCATATTCAACAGCATATGTATACTATCATGATGCTCCGCCACAGCCTTCTGGACCAGCGCCATCGAGAGATTCTGCCACGCAACCATGGTTCGGTGCCTGAGTTCAGCGAGATCGTTGATTTCTCCGCCACTGTAGACCACCCTGTTGAGCTCCGCCCGAACCGGTAATTGAGGGGTTTAGGTCAGGTGACACACTTAGATATTCCGTCTTCTTCAGGTACTCAACGCCCTTCCATTCCAAGTAGGCGAGAGTTTTTCCAACGCCCTTCGATTCCGTGTGGAGGCACCCAATCCTGTAGCAGTACGAAGTCTCCAAGAAGGTACAGGCGATGACATGAAGGCAGGATATTCTCCACGAGTTGGTCGATGTAACCGTCAGCGTTCACTTCAGTCCGGGACCCACGAAGAAAATATCGGTCCATACCATCAACCCGCGCCTTGGCGACTGCGGTGAAGATGATATCCTGGACCGTAGCGACGTTGTCGGAGCTGCTCGATGTTGGAGGTCTTCCAGATCAAGAGTACTGGTCTCCAGGTAGCTATCCATGGGTGACTCCATTCAAGAAGTTTCGCAGCTGTTTGGAGGTGACGTGAATTCCAAGGCCTTTTCCAGTCAGGCTGCGACTGGAGATGACTTCATATTTTGGTGTACATGAAGGTGATGGGCGAGAGCCTGCTCCTGCTTATCGAGGAACATCTTGGGTATCTTCCGCCCTGGTACTCTCGTATCCACGTCCTCTGTCTGGGCTGCGAAAACTTTGCTGATATGTGACTCGGCCGAAGTGTCTTTTTTTGCCCCCCCCCTGTATATTGTGAGCGTAGGTTGGTGTACGCTGGCGTACGCTCTGAACGCTTACACAAAGTATGAACACACTCTTAGCTCTCTCTCGCAACAAATCCATAGCGAAGGCTTATTAGATCTAACGGCACACTCTTTTGTGCAATATGGAATGCTTTCATTTATGCAGTTATGACATCTATCACACAACCGCGTCCGTGGCTGGAGTGGCACCAGTGGCAAGAATGTGTGATCAGCTGTTTGCCTGCTCATTAGTAGAAGGGCTGCACCTTGGGCGATCGTTCGTCTTGGCTCACGAGATGGGACATAAGTGAGTTCAGCCCTGATTTTCCCTATCCTCTAACCTTCTAAGTGCAATTTCTTTTTCAGTATGGGTATGGTACATGATGGTGTGCAGAATCAGTGTAGTAAATCTTGTTGCCTGATGTCAGCATGGTCATGTGGTGTGCGAATAGTGTGTAAGTTTGTTGCATATGTCGGCTGGAATGGAGCGGTAAAAACGACCTGTCGCTTGAGTGCTCCTGTTGAGAGAATTTCAACGCATTCCTTTCTTCAGACCTCAGAGTGAGCTTCCTAATTTGAATGTAGCAGAGTAGTTGGGCAATAGTGCCTCAGCTTTTACTTCTCAACAATCATTGCACCTTCACATACGAGTTAATAAGAGACTGCGGCTCCCATTAGGCGCCGACACTGCGGATATTGTATGGCATAATCATGGTTAGATAATATCCCATGAAGATGAGTTTACGTTTATGTCTGTCTGGTCCTTTTCTATGGGATCCTTTTGAGGCCGCTTAAATGATGCTACTTTAAGGATGGTCAAGGAAGTACTAAGCGGAAGTTACAGGGATTTGGACATCTCCATCAAAAATGAACCTCTGTCAAAGATCGGGCTTTGTTTAGTCAACTCTTCTCTCTTAACATGTCATGAGAACAATCTATAACAATAGGCAGTGAAAGATACCCAAAGTACAGTGTGAACTCTTTTGAGTTTTGGCAATGTTGTGTTTCAAGCGAGTCAGGCAATGGCATTGCCTCCGAGATGGTTCACCAGGTTTGCTGGAACGAAATCTATCGGAATGGTGCGGTAAGTCCACGACAGTACACAAACAATTTTTGAGCTTGGCCGAATGACCTTCGCTGCGTGTTTGCTTTACAATGTATGCTCTGGTTCTTCATCGTGGTTTTTCTGCAGTCATGCTCTGCTGGCAATGACGCGGATGGCCAGGAGCGAACCTATTTGACGCTCGTGCCAGTCGCAGCCTCAACTGGCACGCCAGGTGCGTGTCAGGAACTCCCCGCCGGCACGAAATTATCGGCCGGCTTAGAAGTGGGTCACCGGCCGGCGATCGCATCTTCAACATGTTAACATACTTGAGCAGTTCACTTTTCATTCTGTTTGGACATGTTGTTGACAGATGAAGATGTAGAAAGGAAAACGCTCCAAGCAAAACTGCGTCGTTATCGACTGAAGTTGGCAAATGCCAGGTCGGAATTCCCCGCCGGCACCGCGACCAAGTTGCCGCGTGCGGTGACCTAATTTCGGGCGCGGCGTGACTCCTAACCGTCTCCCGGCACGCCGTATCATTCGTAGCGAACAAGACTGTAGTGTTTTTACACAGTCGGGAGAGAGAACTCTCTAAATGCGCAATGCGGATGGGCGGCGCATCACATCTCCCTAAGCCAGTTCCCCTTTTTTGAACCTTTTTATTGACCTAACGTTTCGACCTTCTATACATTTCATCTAACAACGATTGGCAAAAGTAATTACACACTCGACATCATGTCGAGTTTACAATAAGGGACAACGTGAAGTTTACGCAATACAATTGCATGGCGCATCCTAAGAAGACAAGGATGAAATGGATCAAGTCAACTCCATCAATCGATCCTTTTTTGAATGCAGCGTGCGTTCTTTTTCCATATTTGCTTAATGTCATGCGGGCAGTACAATGGCTTCCAGTGTCTAGCCGATGTACAAGTCATGTTTTTGTCCTCCCAGAGAAGTACGTTACCAGTTCTCCAACCCCGGAAGGTAAAAGGTCTGATTGGCCTGTGCGAGAGCCAACACTGGATCTGATCCCACGACCACGCGTAGTAAGTGTTCTACTCACAACACCTCTGCCTTCCTAACCTATATGAAATTTTGCAAAGTTTCGCTGTGATGTTGGTTCTAGGCCATGAACTTCTCAAAAAAATCTTTACCAGAAAGTCAATACTGCCCTTCAGGACGCCTGGTCAACGATTTACAGCTGATCAACAATGCGCTTATTTCTGGGGCCGTGACTACAAGGTGGAAATTCCAACCGGACGCACCATGGAGGTGTGGACTTTTTTCGATGATCGTACATTATTATTTTATTCTTCTTATTTTGTTCGGTCCTTTTCTAAGCCAGTTTCGGAGTCTCTTGTAGGTCGTGTCCTACTGCAGTCATAATACTTGTTAATACTTGCACGGCACGCCTCCCTTGCATGCGTGATCCAGCAGAAACTATTTGTTTTTACATCTTCAGTAAGCGGCCACCTATTCAGAAGTCGAAGAAGACGACGACAGTCGCAGCAGCTGACAACTGCTAAACCCATTCGGAGAAGCCCCCTCCCCCTCCCTGCACCGTTAAACCCTTGTGGGTGCGCACACAAGTGTACTCTTCGTCCATCTGTCATCGTGCCTGTGTGCAGTCCTGAAGACTACTGCCTATATCCCATTGATGACGAGAAGAATCCAGCAGGAGCGAGCGAGGACGTCAGCAGATACATTCCCTGAAAGGCACAGCCCACATTTTTAGGGACGGTGAGACGGGGTAAGTCGCACTGGTGGGACCGTAGGGTAGGACTGAGTCCACAGTCCCCCCCCCCACTGGTCACTCTTACGATATCACCAGCTGGTTAAGGAAAGGTTCTAAAAGAGGTCCGAAGAACTTCTTTTGTTATCCTCCGACTGTCTAAACATCAAAGTCACCTTCCAAAAAACTCCAGAAGGCACTTTCTGGATAGGGAGGATTGGGTGCATTGTCACCATAGGAAAGCAACTTACACCTCACATGTGGAGCGAACCATTTGCTGCGCCCTTCGGTGAAAAGTCACTGTCAAATGGAAAACGAAGTGCAGCAGCCGGTTTCGCTGCTACAGTAACTTCTGGGACTGACGACCCTCACCCAGATAAATTGCGCTGTTGCAAGCGTTTTCAGCCGTAATGCTTACTATTGAATTTTCTCAAAAGTATTGCCATCAGTTTTCGTGTTCAGGACATCTGTCGCATACTGTGGTGTGGAAATGGTGGGTCAACGATCTCAACGGCCCATCCAGCTCTGGAGGGCAGCTATTGTGGAGGTGGCAGGGTAAAGAAGCTTATTACGTTCGCAAATTTATTTCATTACAAATGGTTACGATTATAGTGGTGTCACGAAGGCCAGTGCTTGCCATGGGCATCAGGACCACCACCAAAAGTGGTTCATGGTGGATGGTCGAGATGGAGTACTGATGACAGATGTCCTGTACAACATTGCCAGATCTCCGATAGTATAGCGGTTCGACCACAACATCGCGATTGCGTGAATCCAGCGTGAGAAAGGATTTCTAAATGGTTCTAATTCTCTCCGAGTTCCACTTTCAAACGTTCAGACCAAACAACGGCGGGCTTCCATGCAGCGGAGCAGCAATCCGGGGAATACTCTGCTCGACACACCACAGTTCCTGCCAAGGTTTGTTCTTTGAACTCGTCCGATTGAAGCGCACAATGAAGTTCATCTTTAGGATTTACTCGAGAAGAATACAGTAACCGTATATGCTCATCTATAAAGCACGATCCACTCAAACCCGATCGACAGTTGACTGGCGAGGGCTTCGAACGTAGGTGTCCTACTTTTCGGTCAAAAGCTGCCAGTTTGTATATACTATTTTCATTTTGAATTAACCACTTTTCAAGCCGAACTCTCGGCTTTTCTAGTCCAATTTACGAGTTTTCAATCCGAGTACAACACTCTTTACACCGCGCAATCAACTAGCCGGATCATGCTGGACAGTACTGCAAACCCCACCCTGACAGCCACGCCCACTTTCCAGCGCTGTCATGACTTTTCAAGTTTTATTTTATAAGTTTTGCTTCTGTGACTTTGTCGCATTGTTGCTAGTTCGAATTACTCCCATAATTACAGTTACACCAATTGGAAAGGGTCTACAGACCGGCACGCAAACGACCCCCCACCCACTTTTGGGGAATGTTGCGAATTTCAAAATCTCATTATTCGTCCAACATCCTTTTTTCAGTGCGTTCCTCGCACAACGGAGATACCCATAGACGCGTATGCACGCACTGACACACTATGCTCCGCCCACATTGGCAATTTCTGTAAAATTCTAATCTCTCTTCAAAATTTTCCCATTTTTGGGCCGCCACGGGAAGCCCCGCCCAGTATGAGGAGCTCTATTCCACAATTTTCATGTCCTGGTTGCTACAGTAAACCCCGCCCACTAAAAGAAGCTCCGCCCCTCACCGGAAGCCTCCACTCTCGAGAAACGCCTCATGTTAGCAGCAGTTCAGAGTCTCAACAAGTAGGTCA